AGCAATATCGTCATCTAATCAGCCGCCCGTAGAATCCGTACAATTAAATTGCCCGACATGAGGTGCTCAAGGTACGCAAGCATGTAAATAAAAGAATCACTGGTCGTAGTTACATTTAAAAAGGCACGATGCATAAAGCCCGCCCCTGTCCACGAGATACTTACGAACGATATTGCTGATTTGACAAAGTACAAAAGAGCCAATTTATTTTGACGCTTTTAACATTGTGAGCTATTTTGCGCATAACTAAGCATAACCAGTTACAAAACTGGAAATGTGTATGCCGAAATTATTATTTTTTTATTTTGCAAATACCTTCTTAACGGAAACATCGTTGTGCATGAGTTATCTCATTTTTCGTGTGAGCTGGAGCAACTAAGTAGCGTTATATCTTCGAAACGAACTTTAATGTTCATTCGACTCTGGCGCTCTACCCATCGTAATCCTCAAAAAAGATAAGGCGCTTAGGTGCTACAGCGGAATGGGAGAAATGTAGTTTAAATTATCAATTTTATACAAGTGTAACTTTATTTCAATTATTGGAGACACAAATTCTTGCTCATGTACACGCAACAACTCAACTGGAATAAAAAGAGGAACCAGGCATCAACAAATAAAGAGGGGTGAGAATTACTGAATATTAATCCACCTTACTTAATATGCTTTTTTAATGTTTCTTTCTTTTCCTAGAAGGCTTCTGAAAATATATTTGCTCAATTTTCCTTACCGTGAGCTGCTTCGTCCCTAAGTTCGGAGACATATGCTCTAGAATCATTCCGATAAAAAGAAATATATATGGACGAGAACAAAGGGCAGATTATCTCATTCGAACCATCTTTCAACAGTGCAAACGATAGAGGCACCCGACTTTTTTTATTGATGTGTGTACATCCAAAAATTTTACCCGAGACGTATCGGCACCAGCATTACAATAGTTTTTAATAACCCTTTAAGCAGATACGACCAATTTGGTTCGCCTAAAATATATTTTAGGCTGTGTCTTTTTTCATGAGGATAGACATCCCTGAAAGTCGTGACCAGGGAATCTATGAAAAGCGCCACATGCTTTTCGACCTTCCTTTAAAATTTTACAATTCAAAAATTCACATAAAATAAAAAAGATTAACCTCAAAATTTGTCGATGTTTACCTAAGATCTCTCTTATTTAGATTCTAGTATTTCATGTTCGAACAATGTCCCGATTACACCCGATCTTCATAAATCACAGCAGTGATCGTGCGGCTGGAATCTTCGTTTAATGGCGTGACAAAATGTGTTATTGCACGTTAAAACATTGATGCAACTGCACTCTCTATGCTAAGTAGCGAAGGTGTAGTGTGGAAGCAAGGCGAAACTGACAGCGATGAAAGTCACCGACAACGAACCTCGTAAGATGCATGACCGCTTTCGTAGCACATGGCAACGCTTACCACCATCTTTCAACCGTAAAAACAAGTCCAAATTCAGCAAGCATTGCAAGCAACAATTTTAGATATAACAAAACGAGACAATTTAGATAAACCTAAACACAGAGCACACTTCTAAAAAGATGATGAACGAAATGTAAGGCGAGTATCGTCCGGACATATAACGAAAAGAACAATAAATCGCCATCCGCAATCTTACTATCCAATGCCAGTTCGAGCTATTGGACTTTAAAGACACTACCTGCCATCTAAATGCGCCAACGCCAAGTCCGAACGTATTACTCTACATGTAAGTCCGACCGGGATTCGTTTCAGCACTCAGGAATTTAAACGCGATTAAGCAAAATGATCGCTGCCCCTTGTTGACAGCATTATCCAATAACAAAAATAGTTGCTGGAATCAGCCCTGCTCGACATTTGCTTCGCTGTGCTTGTGACAAATTCCATAAGATCTTATCTAAAAGTTTGTTTTCCTGTCAAACGATAATTAAAAAGATATCAGAGCGAATCTCTCATCAATTACTTACACGGCCCAATTACCTTTTAGCAGATGATTCATGAAAACTATGTAGACAGGTCAGCACATACGATCTTCAATATTACCGCAAACGATAACTTGCCACCATGTCAAGTCTACGTTTTCGGGAGCTGTCACTGCTAATGCTAACACTTTTGAGCAGCATGGAAGGTCCCGCATCAGATGTATTATATAATGCACTTTCCGTTATTTAGTAAGAGCCGGACCACCATTGATAAGGGTGTAAATAAACACCAATGCCAAAAAAATCGGCCCCCAGGAGGCGACCTGTCCCGACCGATACACATTGGGCATCCTGCATTAACTATGTGAATCATTTACTTCCTTTCTTTTAAGCATCACGTTCTAAAAGGCCATATTTGCAATCTCAAAAAGTCACTGGGCTTTTTGACTCTCTCAAAAGCGTTACTAACGCTAAGGTCAATATTTAGATAAGCTTTAAGACTACGCATACGTCAAGTAATGTGGGTAGGCGCTTATCTTATAATCAAAACTGTATTTGCAAAAATTAATACAAAATACACAGCATTCGGGTTGATCATCACCATCTATTATGAGCACTCAAATATGAAGAAGTAATTATGCTGAAAACTTCGCCGCTAGACTGTCTTTTCTTTAATTAATAGAGGTTGATAGTCAAGTTTCAAATTACTAAACTACCTTTTGAAATATAAATATCGGGGGGAAATGCCCCCATTCCATCATTAAATAAAAACACTGTCCCACGTCCTCGTATACTCGAGTTAAAGTGGTACACCTGAAAAATAATGTCTTTAACATTTTCAAATTCCCATAGTACTTTTGTGCTTATACCCCTGCCCTGAAGATAGAATCGCGGAGGGGGTTCTACCGCGGCGTGCTGCGCTCCCATCCATCAGTTGTGGGCGCAGATGTATCGTCAGCCGCATAATTTAATGCATACAATGTCGAAAAAAGGGGTTTATATGGCTTACATGACATTGGAGGAGTTTCGATACTGGGCGACTGTTCGGGGATACGGCGTCAGTGAAGAGACAGCGCTGTGGTTGAAAAGATCAAGGTGTAAGGAGGCATCGAAATACATTTAAGAAATCGGTAATAGTTTCACATTTGCCCTTAAAGGACGAGGATAATTTTTTCCACAGGGTGTCTTAATATACAATTGGTGCTGATGTTTATGATGATTTTTTGATATCGGTTAGGGTTGTTATCATTGTCTTTTTAATTTTATAATTATTCACCATTATGTTTTGGTTTCAGTTGTTCATATCGTTGTTGCTGCTACCGCTGACGCTGTAGCCGTTGTTGCCGTGAGTTTTATAATGCTCAGTTTGCTTCTTTTACTGCAACTGCTGGTTGCGGTGCTGATGCTGATGTAAGTCGAACTATTGTTGTCGTTGCTGCTGTGGCTGTTGTTGGTGCTGGTGTAGATTTATTGTTGTCGTTACTAATGTAGTTCATTTCGTATTTCCTTGCTTTTGAGACCGCTGCTGCTAGATTTGGTAATGATGCTGCTAATGTCGGTGCTATAGGTACTGCTGTAAGTTCGTGTTGTTACTAGTGTAATTAATTAGATGTTTGCGTTGCTTTTGATACCGCTGCTGCTAGAGTTGGTGTTGATGCTGCTGATGTCGGTGTTATTGGTACTGCTGTTAGTTCGTGGTGTTACTCCTGTTATTGTGTTGTTGTTGGTACTACAGTGCTGCTGTTGTCGTAGATTATTTTAGTAACAGATTTATGCTTCCTGCTTGTACGCTATACTTAATTTAGCTTTGTTACTCATTCAATAACTAAAACGAATCCATTCTATCTGTTTGACGCTTTTTTTCCAATTGAAAAAGGCTTTACCCATGCTAATGGCGACAATTTAGTGCTTCTCAGGGATAAGTCGGTGCTGTTAATGGCTTATAAACTCTAAGAACGACACGCTGGATGTGGAGAGCTAAAGAGGTAATAACAACACACACAAGACATTTGATTTGGTCGAAGTTAACACACTTTAACATCCAAGTCATTGTGTAAAGAACTTAATACAATCTGCATTAATGTACTATACGGACTTCAACACGATTTTGTCAGACCAAATCCACTTGCGCTTGACATGCGACTCTCTAACTGTAATGCCTAGTGCCACATAACTTGCTGCATTGTTCAATGTGCTACAAAACAATTTCCGTATACTTAACGTAAAGAACAGTTATAAGTGGCACTTGTATAAGTAAAGGGCTTACACGGCTACTAGATTCGACCTAAGATATCTCTACGGCACCTAGTTTGCTTCGTTTTGCACGTTGCAAATATGTGTTGACATAACGTAGGATTGATACGCGGGCATAGCATACGTCCACTCTGTCACTGAATATCCGCGTGACCGTTATTAAGGGATTATTTATATCAAAAGTCGGACGTATCAGCGTATAGCATACGAACAGTATTATTATTTAATTAAGCCCTACATCGAGGTCAACGTCGGTGTATGCATGCCATTCTAACTATAGCATACGAGGACGTGGGGCATTTTTTATTTTTTTAATTATCTAGGGCCTTTTTATTTCTGTGATTAAATGGGACATTTTTTTGTGATCAAAGAAACTTCTTTTTATTTTCCCTTATTATATCCAGGCAATTTTTGATTAGTGCCTTAGATTAGCAAAAATGCTTGCCGGCTGCGTTCCGACGTCGAGAACACAGCCACTCCCCGAAACGACTATGACATTTTACCGATTTGATGCTATGAAACGGTCCAGTTTCTTTTCCCGTAGAACTACTGAAATCGATATTGAGAGGGACGGCAAGCGTGAAGTAACTGGTCCCCACTGACGAATGAAGCAAAGCCTGTACATTGGTAATCTGGAAAACCAGAATCCAGTATGGACGAAGCTGGTCCAGACACAGTATCAGCTTGACGCAGCTGGCACCCCTAGCGTGACCTCCGTCCATTCAACACGCACTCACCTTCGATTGGGACTGTCAATCCACAACTTGCATTGAACGTCGGTTACCTTCGCACTCTTCTGGTGGGCAAAGCTTCCCGACTGTAATCGCCATTTGCTGCAATGGTCAAGTACTTCCGTCTCTTCGGACTCGCGCTCGTCGTGTTTGCTCATTGCGGCGCCCTTTCGTCTCCAGCCGTCAGAAAGCCACCTCAGTCGGCGTCGCTGGACTTGGACCAAGCCGCCCAACCGAAAACTGACGACAAACGGATGCGTCAAGAGGCCGACGTCACCAATCTGGCCGTCAGTGAAGAGAGGGCAGCGTTCAACGTTGGCCCGCCGACTGAAAAGGGCATCAATCGTCTGATATCCAAGCTCGCGAATTGGCATTGGGTCAAGGATGCGTGGCAGAAGCTGAAAACCTCAAAGCTGGTGAAAGCACTAGGACGTTGGCTATTCAAAAAGCGGATATTGAACATGGGGGTGCCGAAAGGAAGGATGCTCACGTTTGACGAAAAGGTTGTGATTGCTAAAGTGTTAGTTCACAAAGTGGATACACACGAGGAGATGTACACACAAGGTATCCGTCCAGATCATGTCGCAGCAGGGTTGGGACTGACGGTGAACGACTTAGAAACAACAGGTGGTGCGGCACAACTTGAGAAGATAAAAGAACGGGTTTTGTACGAAACGTTTAAGGACCATGCCGAAAAAAAGCAGGAGGCCTTAAAGACGTAAGTCCAAGCTGCTGACGTTGGGATGTTGCATACAGTCATTAGTCTTCCTTTCAGCGATGGTATGTCCAACGAGCAATAGGGCGTCTTACATTTCAGAGGCTCATGTAACAATGTAATGCTTGAATCGCACCGCTTTTGCTATGACACATTTGTCTCCTTCATGCACTGGTGCAGGAAGAAAATCCATTTCCGTAGCCAAGCTGCGCATGCCTTGTCAATATGCGTGAAGGACCATAAAGTTATTGTATGCGTCTTCCAGAAGCTCGCGGCTCAATTGACATAGATCTGATCGCTACCAACAACGACACATGTGATCAATAAGTTGTCCCTTGGTGTCTACAGCAACACAGACTAGAATATGTACCCTTCGATAGTATCTCTGACTTCATCCGCTTGTGACTTCGTGATTCAGGACGACGTTCATTACAGCGCTACCTGTCGTACCAATAAACTAGTGTTAAAGGTACAATCTCGCTACGCTGTGCTATCTCCAAAATATCCTTCCTCACCGACGTATATACACGCAAAACTTTACGTTCGTAAGAAACTTCTGGTATCCCACTCGTGGATCTGACAAGTCAATCACATGTGCCTGACTTCGCAGGAGCTGACGTACCAGTGATGGTGACTTACGTCGCTGCATCCTGATTCATATTCGCCTACAAGTTTACATTCGTATCAAATTTCGCATGTGCCAAGGTAACACGTAGCAATACATTTGGCGACAGATCTGAATAGTGCAACCCACAAAGTGTGCCATTGATGGAAATCGTAGATACAGCTGCCTTGACGAAATGTCACTGTGACGTGAAAAGTATCGGGTTCAGCTCACATGGTGAATGAAATGTGACACATTTGATGCATATGCGTGGCCACACCACACTCGACAGCCCGCTAGAAACACGTCGCCATTGACACCACAAGGGGTTTATGTATTAGCAAATAATTTTTGAGTAGTGACACCTTTGACTGGGTCAGCAGATGAATGAGTTATTTTTTGGAGCTGAACTCCTTGCTGCTTGTACAAGTAATGTTGACATACAATGCTTTTGTATTTAACCATAGAAGCATCGAGGCTCCATGCGAGACGGTCTCGTCAATTTGTTTGAGGGCTTAATCGACGGACGCAGACGTAGACTTGGTAATAACGACAATGTCTTGTCTGTTTCGTGGCATCATAATGTACTGTGGAAACTCGTCATGTTGTCAAAGATAGATAAAGCGAGAAGCAGCATTTAGATGAGAAGCTTCGACGACGATGGCACGGCGAATATCATTTTTGATGATACATGGTGGTAGCCTGCAATATTTATTACGCGCAACAACTTTGTGTATTGGTTGATGTTTGTTCTCCAGTATATTTCAGTATCCGTCAAAATATCTTGCTGCCATCCACGCGTAAATACGAGTTAGATTTGCATGGGAGGGTCCACGAGTTGTATACTTATCTTTCCGTCTCGGTCTGTCTCTCAACGTGAAGATAATTTAGTTACGTGCCCAGCAAGGAAGCTCACCAAATAAAGGTATGTTGTATGTGCCGGATACTACCTTGCACGATTGCGAATACTGACGTCAAGTTACCTAGCCATTCAGTGGAAGCTGGATCAACATGAGCCGCAACAAAGATTTTGCAGCTGTCAAGAGCGGTATTAACCAATTCTGAACGATAGAATCCGTAATGCTGCGTCCTTCGTAGTCACAGAGGTACTCAAAAGCCAATGATGCACCTTTTCCAATCTAGGATTTTGTAAACAGTTAAGCATACGATGCTATGGAAAGACATCACCGTTGTAATATGGATACTGTAATCCGTCTAGCTGCGTGGTGAAGCCTGCTGCTGAGCACCATGTAGCTTTCTATGAACACGAAAATAAAACTGTTCAAGCTGACCATCCAAGCCCGACTACTATCGAGACGAGAACCTTTGTGATCTCCACTCTACTGGAAACGCTGACTCAACACTGACTTTGACCACGTCGGGAAATTGGGGGCGCGGCACTGTTGCGAACATAATCACGATCGCCGGCTTTGTGTATCTATAGTGTCGAAAACGTACTGCTGGCCTCGCTGCTTTTTAAATGACTGTGCAGAAGCACCAAGCGTTCGTTAAGATAGTTTAACTGGCCACTGCTAATAGCGACACCCGGTAGCCGGTACAACAAACGCACTGTATGTGGTCGCATCACGCTTGACTAAGCGTATCAGGCGAACTTATTGGAGTCAAATCTTGTTGCCAACTTGTGTGCCCCGATACTAAGTCAGCGTCAGCGCGGCTCACGAATTCTCTGATTGTGGCAAACATGTGCTCCATGTTCGACCGAAACAACCAAGGCAGACTCATAATTGTATTTGGTCGATCTCACTCGTACCTTTTTGTTAGATGTTGGTAGCTCTTGCACTTGTGCAAAGGATGTGGGAAGTAAAAGTGAAATATATTGGGTGCTAACTATTCTTCCTAGTCAACCCTATTTATATGTATTTGCACCAGCACTGCAACTTGACCTGGTCAAGTTGTACTTTGGCATACGTCCAGCGTGCCCATCCCATGTGCTGGTCCTGGTCCCATGTGACGTCTGTATGTCTCTGTCTCTCCTACCATCTGTCTTTGATAGTCCGACATGACGATCGTCTTCTCGCGTCCCATGTGTCAACCTGTCTCGTCCCACCGTCAACTTGTCGAACAATCAGGTGAGGTCGACCTAAACCTGTAACAGGTCTTGCAGTTGCCTCTACACCGACGTAACCTGTTAAAAGCTATATCTTCTAACCCCCCCTTCTCGACCTTAGCCTGAATCGTCCTCAAGTTGAACATCTTGCGTAGCTCCTCCATTCTCGGCGCTGGCAAAGACTTCGTCAGAATGTCCGCCATCATGCTCTCAGTCTTGACGTACTTGGGCACCACAATTCCTTCACGCGCGTAGTGGCAGATGAATTTAAACCTGATGTCCACGTGCTTCGCACTCGTTGTGCTCTTCTCTGCCTCGAGTTGCTTGATCGCCGCTTGATTATCCATCTACATAGGCATCGGCATGCATACCTGCAGCTTTAGCTCTAGCAGTAGTTCCCTCACACCCAGCAGTTCGCGTCCTGCCTGGGATGAGGATATGAACTCCGCCTCCATAGTGCTCAGCGACACACCTGACTGCTTCTTGCACGACCATAAAACAACAGAACCGTCCAAAGTTAGTACGTATCCAGACACTGACTTACGGTCCGCCTTGTCCGCGGCGAAGTCTGCATCGCTCCAGCACTCAATCTTGACATTTTGTTGAGTCGGTCCGTTGCCGTTCAGGTGCAACCTCAAGTTCTTTGTCGCCTTCAAGTATCTTGCAATGCGTTTCGCAATCTTCCAGTCCTTGGTGGTTGGCTTGTGTGTTTGACGAGTTGCCTTATGCACTGCAAAACATATGTCGGGCCGCATGCATCTTGCGATCCATAGCAGACTCCCGACCAAGGATTGAAAGGCACTCAAACTTGGCTCACCGCTTGCACATCTCGCGGGTAGATAGTCCACATCATCCTTGTAATCATCATTGCATTCATCTCCGATTGGCGTTCGCACACCGTTCGCTGACTCCAACTTGAAATCCATGAGCAACACGTCGATCATGACCTCTTGGTCCAGAATGTATCCTTGAGTGTCATCCAAAGAGATCCTGAGTCCCAGAAACTTCTGAACGACGCCGAGATCCTTGATCGACAGTGTCTCCATGCCCGCAAAGAACTCATCAACCGCGCACTGCTTGGTTCCCGTGACCAGAAGATCGTCCACGTATACTCCGACGATGGTCCATTCTTGACCTTGGTGCTTGTAGTATAGACACATGTCCGTCGTGCACTGCTTGTAGCCATTCTCGGTCAGCTTGGAGTGTAAGAGCTTGCTCCAGAGTCGTCCCGCTTGATTTAGTCCGTACAACGATTTCTTCAACAGCAGCGCGACCTCACCAGGAGATTCCACACCGAAACCTTGAAGTTCCTCCTTAGTGATTTGCATGCCTTTTGGAACCTTCATGAAGATATCCGGATGCTCCTCCTTTTCTGCCCTAACTTAGGCGTTCGGAACATCCCCGTGACGTGCGGGAACGTTCCATCGCCTGGAGAGCACCAGGATTAGCTTGACGGTCACTAAGTCCATGACGGCCGCAAACGTGAGGTTGTAGTCGATGCCGAAGACTTGTTCGTTTCCGCAAACCACTAGTCGAGCCTTGTATCGCTCGATATCTCCGTTCGCGTCGGTCTTTGTTTTGTAGACCGACTTGTTGTGCAACACGTGTGCATTTCTTGGTGGCACTACGATCTTCCAGACGTCGTTCGCCTCGAGTGCGTCCAATTCTTCGGTCATGGCTACCTGCCATTGGTCGCGTTGTCCACTCTTCATTGCCTCACCATAGTGCTTCGAGTCTTGCTCGACGATCGCGTTCACGATGTCGCAACCGTCCACCGAGGTGTCCACTTCAACCACCTTTGGTTGACTTGACGTTGTCGATCTTGTCCCATGTCGCTCTCTGGTCCATGTCGCTCTCTGGTCCATGTCGACTTTCGACCTTTTCTGACCTGCTTCGCACGTTTCACACCATCTTGCCGATCTTCTTCATCCGCCTGATGATCAGGGACTGGCTTCTCCTGACGTCGTGCCGTGTCTGGACAGGTCTTTCTCTCATCCTGGTCATCCCGTGGTGCTTCAATGTTTTGAGCATGTTGAGTCACCACGACCACCTTATCCACTGGGATGTACACCTTGTATCCCTTCGTTTCGCTGCCTCGTCCGATGACGATGCCCGCCTTGCCTCGTTCACCGATTGACTTGCTCTTCGGGTCTCTGTGCGCAGTGCATGTTGAACCAAAGGCCACAATGTCTGTCAGCACGGGAGCCTTGCCTGTCAGGATCTCCAAGGGCGATGCACATCCGGGGTTGGACTTGGTTTTGCTTCGATTCAGTATGTACGAGGCGTACTCTGCAGCATCACCCCAAAATGAGAGCGGCAGGTTTGATGCAAAGATCATACTCCGCACCATGTTCATGACAGTGCGGTGCATCCGTTCAGCCTTGCCGTTGCTTGCTTGGTTTTTCGCCTCGCTTACTTGACGCAAGACGCCTTCCGAAGAGCAGAAATAATCGAGTGTCTTGTATTCGCCACCTCCATCGGTGCGTAAGACATAAACCTTGCAATTGAACTCGCGCTCAAAGTTTGCCATGAAGAGCTTGAACTTTGACGCGGCTGCATCCTTCGACTTGGCCAAAAATATTCGACAGTAACTCGAACGGTGGTCGATGAAGTTGACCATGTACCGATTTCCCAAACGATCTCGGGGGGTCATGGGACCCTTAAGGTCCGAACAAATGACTCCCCCGATCGCGTCGATTAGCGAATTCGCGCCTGTATCTCTCTTCGACTGGGCTCCCTTGGTCTGTTTTCCCTGGGCACAGGCCAGACACTTTTGACGTGTCGAATCAGTCAGTCGGATGCATGATGCCGGATCGTTCGCCATCTTGACGATCGTGTCGAAACAAAGGTGTCCTAAACGTCGATGAAAGTCCATCAAGCTACCGCATAGAACATCCGAATCGGATTCATATTCAAGTGGATTGACGACAGTCATCAGTGCTTCTTGTGGTGGCTTGGAATTACGATCACTGTGATTTGTCACCGCGACAACCAACACGTTGTTGCAGCATTCCACATCCATGATGGGTGTACCGCCCGTACCGGAAGACAACACGCGCCTCCCTCCTCGATATTCAAGTACGCAACCTTTTGCCTCGAGCAATCCGTAGGAAAGGATGTTACGCTCGAGGTTCTCCGCATAATGAACATTGAGGAGCCTCACTGTGTTCACGACTCCAAGTGCAACGACTTGGATGTCTACAGTTCCTTGTAGGGTGATCCGCAGCGCACTTCCATCAGTGGCTGCATTCATGCACTCGCTGCGACAATCAATCGGATCAGTCAGCAGACTCGGGTCATTGACCAAATGTCTACTCGCACCGCTGTCGAGAATCCATTGTCCGGGCGAGCGACTCGCACCGTGACCAACCGCTAAAACGAAATTCGCACCCGAGAGCTTCTTCTTCATTTTGGGGCACCTCGAGCGAATGTGACCCACTTCTCCACATTTGAAACAAGTCCGGGTGTCGGTGCGTGGTAGTGACGGTCTTGATTTGTGTTTGTCCTTGAACTCCTGCGCAACCTCGACAGTGTTCACCACATCGCGTCCAAAACTCTTCGAGTGAGTGTCCACCTCCGTCGATTGGGTAAATTGCGCCAACTCTTCTGCTTGCCGCAGGTAATCGGTGCGATGAATGTCCAATCTGGACAACATCGTCGTTCGCATGTGTGGGTCAGCATAATGGACGATGTTGTCCAGCACAAGGTTGTCTGCACCTCCACAGGCATCACTGACGGCCGTCAAGCACAGAAAATGATCCGTCTAGTTTCGGTGAGGTGCCTTGGGTGCTGTGAACAACTTCATGCTTTGTGCTGGCGAGATCTTCGTCGTGAAGGTCTGCAGTAGTCTCTGCATCGCATGTTCCAGGGTTTGGTTTTCAAACCACCACGTTTCCACTTGCCGACGGTAGTATGTCTGTGCCTTACCGGCTAGGTGTTGACCTAGAACATCAACCTTGATATTTTCCAGCCACACGAAACCACATGCACGCTCTGCGAACCTGACTTGGCGGACAAATTCCTTGCCCAACTCCATGAAACCGCTACCAAGACCGTGGTAGAGTTCCTTCCCATCGAAAGGTTGCAACGCAAGCTTTCGTTGTTGCGCATCCGGCATGCCGACTCCCGGCTGCCCAGGGTAAACACACACCCCGTTAGGCATACCCATACCGGGGTAGCGTCCTTCAGGCAAACCTGCCCGGCATATCCCAGGGACGGGTGCCTGACCCATGTTGACTCCTTCCTCTGCTTTTCTCGCGTGAGGACCTTCAACACCTGCCTGTTGTTGTCGCCGTGTACCGAAATAGGTTGCTGGTGACACGTTTGAGGATTCCTTAGGAGGGGTACGGTCCAAAGTCTGGAGATTAATCCCTGCCCCGACCTCCTGTTGCCGACTGGCGATACTCGACTCGGGTGAGCCCTGCCAGTTCTTGCCGCCTTGCTCTCTCTGGGAGACCTCCATCCGGTTCATCCTTTCGGACAGGTCTCCTAGCATGGCTAGCATCTTCTCGATTGCCTCCGCAGGCGCTGCCGACTTTTCTTCCAGGTGATGGTCGTCGACCACCACGGTATTTGCAGCTGGTTCAGCCGCACCACCAACACGTCTGATTGGGCTCATAACCTGTTAGATGTTGGTAGCTCTTGCACTTGTGCAAAGGATGTGGGAAGTAAAAGTGAAATATATTGGGTGCTAACTATTCTTCCTAGTCAACCCTATTTATATGTATTTGCACCAGCACTGCAACTTGACCTGGTATTTGCAGCTGGTTCAGCCGCACCACCAACACGTCTGATTGGGCTCATAACCTGTTAGATGTTGGTAGCTCTTGCACTTGTGCAAAGGATGTGGGAAGTAAAAGTGAAATATATTGGGTGCTAACTATTCTTCCTAGTCAACCCTATTTATATGTATTTGCACCAGCACTGCAACTTGACCTGGTCAAGTTGTACTTTGGCATACGTCCAGCGTGCCCATCCCATGTGCTGGTCCTGGTCCCATGTGACGTCTGTATGTCTCTGTCTCTCCTACCATCTGTCTTTGATAGTCCGACATGACGATCGTCTTCTCGCGTCCCATGTGTCAACCTGTCTCGTCCCACCGTCAACTTGTCGACCAATCAGGTGAGGTCGACCTAAACCTGTAACAGGTCTTGCAGTTGCCTCTACACCGACGTAACCTGTTAAAAGCTATATCTTCTAACACTTTTATCGATGGTCTATTTTTTAACACGCTCAATACTTACTGAGGTGTGAGTGAGGGGGGGGTCCATCCTCAATAGCAACCATCGGCGACTCTCTTAGCATTTCTGATACAGTCCGACCGTTTCATTAGAATCTTTTTAGCGGCACTATTGTTGTACAATAGCACCTCGTTTCTCGGCATCATTTTGTTCGGTCTTCCCCGAGCCATACATTCTTAGTGGACAGAAGTGCCAAAGGTTCTTCGACGTTGCAGCTAGCAAACTGATGGCAACATCATACAGACAATCGATATGAATGACACTCTTTTGCTTACAAGCACGGCCGAATGAGAAACAACGACCTTTGTAGTCAGTCTAAGTTACTAGCTAAGATGAGCCTGTGAAGCACATGAAACCGGTCCACCTGCGTCATTTTCGCTCGATCGTCCAGCGAGCAAATGTCCAGTCAAGATCAAGATCAAGGACCAACTAAAAAAATTGATCTCCTTCTAGACTTTCGTCCCTATTTTCTCTCAGATCTCGCAGCCGGTCACTATCTCTCTGAGAAATCGACATTACTGCAGACGAACAGCTTTGGAATCGGGTTTAGACCTACTTTGATCATGAAACAGAGCGAGCACGTGAAGGTTCGTCGCCCCCATCTACCTCCTACTAAGCTTGCATCATCATGTTGATCCAACCCGACCCCTGGTGCTTCTCTATGCGCGTAGACCAACTACCAACAACCCGCAACTGTCGCAGATTTCGTGGCAGAAGTGGGCGTCAACATTGCTCTCGGCCTCTCTCGAGATGACGCCATGACGCGTCGCACATTGTACGGCCCGAACCGCGTGACGCCGCCAGTGAACTGTCCGGCCTGGATCTGCTGTCTATTGCCGTGTCTCCTGCGCAAAGCCTCGATGCAGTTGTATCAGAAGGCGCTGCCTCGGGAGGCCACAGTGCGTCGGCAAGTACGTGGAGATGGAACTAAACAGAGCACGCGGTCTCTGAAAATGGACGCCATGAGTCTCGTTTACGGAGACGTGGTGGAGCTCAAGGTCGGAGACGTCGCAGGTGCAGATCTGCGCGTTGTAGAGTGCTCGACGGACTGTGAAGTGGACCAGACGACGCTCGTGGGTGACGCCACGAGAGCGAGAGGGCGCGGAAGTGGGAGGAGGAAACAGGTGACAACGGATCGGCCGTCTTTCCATCTGGAGCAGGACCCACTGCGGTGTGGGAACATTGTGCCAATGACAGCGACTGTGGTGCAAGGCACGGCTGTTGCAGTGGTCGTGGCGACCGGAGATTCTACGATATGGGGCCAGATGATCGCGCTGCAGACATGGCCGGTGGCTCCAGGAACTGTAGATAGGGACAAAAAGATGGAGGATGACGAAGAAGTGGAGCACGAGCAAACCAACTTGATCGTGTAGAGAAATGACGACTACTTGAAACAGCTTGACGCAAGTCTGTTGCAACTGCTGCTAAGTGCTGCGCCTTGGTGTCCTTTGCCACGTGCCCTATCGACGCCTTCCGGCTGCAGCGGGAGCAGGAGCGCCACCTGCAGGAGCGTCGCCTCCATTGCCACCAAACAAGCTCATCACGACCATAGGCAGAATGACATACCACTTTGTAAAACATGCGCGACAACACAAGGGATGAGTGCAAAGCGGCAGACCGTGTAGATCGGCTCAATTGCACGTACGTATTTGCGAAGAAACGACTGACTCTCCGGTTCGACTTCAGTATTGGCATCCTCGTTTCTCACCGGCTTGACGCCCTGAGGAGCGCGGTCGTGCTTGATCACAACTGTCTTGGGAGGTCTGCAGCAATAACTCGTCAGAATATCGGATACAAACGAAGCAAAACCGATCACCCAAGCGCAGATAATCGCCAGACACTTACGAAGGACCGTGCTGAGGTTTCAAGACCGTGCCAACCGGGTCCAGGCTCACGTCCGACAGACTTCGCGTCTGGTACACAGCACACGTCTCTGGTTCCAAGTACGGAGTGAGGTACTCGATAGCCACGAGCTTGCCATTGTCTGACAAGTGGAACGCAAAGTGTTCGCGCATCTGCGTGGCTGCCAGCATACACATGGGTACAGACGTCATCGCATAGGGCGACGCCGGGTCATGTGGATCCGCCTTGGCACGCACGATATAGTGGTGACCCTGACGTAGCAGCATGTCGAGCTTTGCCACGTCTTCGCTGCTCAGCGTCGACATCATCGAGAACGAGACTTGGGGCTTGAGAGACGACGTCCTCGATACGATCTCGACGACTCCACGGGACGTAAATGGCGCGTCTGCACTAAGTTGGTGCTCCAGTTCAAACTTTAGGTGTTGGATCATCTCCATCTCCACTGGAAGTCCGTGCTCGTCCTCTGACTCGCGGCTGAGCTCTTCATAAAATCTGGATAAATGAGCGGATACGAATATGAAAGTGGCCGATAAACGACGTCAGAGATGTTAGGCAGACGGGAATCGCGAGACGTAATCAGATGTACTCGTTTTCTTCCACTTCGTGAGGGGCAGCAGACGCCAAAGGTGCGAGCAACGCCGTCATGAGCAGCACCGATAGCAGCATCGCTCCTCTTTTTACCCCCGTGTTGATCATTTTTAGGACGAAAACGAGTGGTCCAAAAATGATAAAGTCACGGACTTAAAAAAAAGGCACTTGCTACTAAAAAAGGGTCGCAACTGACCAAAATAGCGCACTTTCCTGTCTCGTGCACATGGCAAATGCTGACGACGATCGCCTCGGTAGCTCCTTATCGCCCATAGGTGCACCGGAACCTGGATCGGTTGTGCGCAAGATCAGCTTTAACGGCGTTGTCATGGACAAGCACGAGCGCGAAGCCTTACAGGACGGAGACGAAGAAGGAGAAGCAGAAGACCCAAAAGGAGACAACAGAGCAGACCCAGAAGAAGGTGAAAACGACCCAAAAGAAGATGAAAACGACCCAAAAGAAGGACCAAAAGCTGCGATCAAAAGAGCGCAAACTTTCAAGGACAATAATAATGACGATCAGGTCCGAATTGTGATTCGGCTCCGCCCTTTGGACTCGGTTCATACTGACACCGAGTCCGAGTGTTTCCGCGTGCTATCGGACGTGCAGCTGCTCGTGCAGCCGCCCAAGACGTCGCAGTCCTATCGCTCCACTGGCACCGCCACGAGTTTTCACTTTTCGCGTATTTTTCAGTCGGAAACGCAGCAAACGGAGCTCTTTGAAGCCACGACGAGACCGGTGCTGGAGGCGGCTTTCCAAGGCAAGAGCGGGCTCCTGTTCGCCTATGGAGTCACGAATTCGGGCAAGACGTACACGATCAGCGGCACAGCGGAAGCTCCGGGGGTTTTGCCGCAGTCTCTTGAGTTTGTGATGGAGAAATTGTCAAATCGCAGAGAATCTGATGTGCAGTCGGCGACGAAAGTGACGGTCACGTACCTTGAAATTTACAATGAAAATGTATACGATTTGCTATCGCCTGCTCGTCAGAAGCGGAGGGCGCTGCGTGTCCAGGACTGTGACGGAAAGATTCAGGTCCGCGGAGCTGTTGAGAAGATAGTCAGGACATTGGATGAGGGAATGGAGTTGCTGGAGATAGGTCGACGGCACAAACAGATGGCCGAGACGAATTGCAACTCGGATTCAAGTCGAAGTCACTGTGTGTTTACACTGCATTTTTATCGTCACGGATCGCGGGCTTCCTTGGATCTGCTCAGTAAAGTATCGATCGTTGATCTGGCAGGGTCTGAGCGCGGGTCCAAAAGTGGCGCAAGTGGACGCCGCATGCAGGAGGCTAGTAAGATTAACGGATCGCTTATGAATCTCATGCGTTGTCTCGAGACATTGCGGTGGAATCAGCAACACCCACCGAGCTTGCAGAAGATGGTCCCGTTTCGCGAATCTAAGCTCGCACGTCTTTTTCAAGAGAATCTTGTCGGAAACGATCATGGTCCACTGGTGATGATTGTAGCTGTGAACCCATCTTGTCACGAGTTCGATGAGACTTTGCGCACGTTGAAATACAGCGCCGTTGCGCGCGAGTTAGTAAGGACACGCACGTCTGTACCTAAAAAGGCTGCCCCCACTGCGACTTTCTACGATCTGGATGGGCGACTGAAAAAGCGGAGACGACAGTCAGCTGAGAAGGTCGCACATCAGGCATCGGACTCGACCGCTGAGGAAAATGATATTGAGGCGACAGGAGGTGCTACGTTGTCTCCGACCAAAGCCCGAGTCGAGCATCAGAAAAGCGACTCGGGACGCCGTCGTATTAGATCGGTCGGACATTCGGCTGCTATGCTAAGAACAGTGGATGTGGGGACATCTCCGATAAAGTCGCGAAAGGAGGTTCTCAAAGGAGAATTGTACTGGGTATTCACTGATGTGCTCAGTTTGTTTTCGTGATGACATTGCGTACTGATAAAAGTTGCTGCTTTTTGAATAATGTGCACGCTTAGGCTGACCTGGAAATGGAAAATGAAGAACTTCGAGGACAGTTGGCGCAAGTCCGAGCTGGAGAGATGCAACTGGAAGTTCGTATCCGTGCGGAGGTCGTGGAAGAAATGCGCGAGCAGCTGCAGCAGATTCGCGCTCAGTATCAAAGCACGCAGACTCAGCAGCGCGAAAATTTACCTTCTGCACAAAAGAGACGCGAGCGTCAACACGCCGAAGAATGCGAAAAACTTCGGACACATGTGCAGGAACTGCGCGGAAAGGTGCGGGAATGCGAGGACGAGATCCAGCGTCTCCATAAGCGCCATCAAGCAGAGCTCGACAAATTAGAGCCAAATTTTGTAGTAATTCCAGTAGAAGACGAGAAGTTGTGATAATAGCAAAAACACATGACTGCATTAAAAGTCTACCACCGTATTTAATCATACAGTAAAAATCTCAAACTCAACGACCTATCCATAAATACTAATTTATCAACATGTTCATGGATTACTTACCGGCTCATGTTGCAGCTTGGCGCGTAGATGCCCCATTTCCAAATCGCGTGCAGGCTAACATAAAAGACCACCTCATCTCGATTATCCCGATGCTTCTTGCTCGTTGATTAACGAAGTACGCATTATAAGGTGTGACAATAGTACAACGCGAGCGTCATGATATCAGATGCCGTTCGCTGGTAGCAGCGGTCTTTTGACAAATCTATAAAGTTGCAACTTGTCACGAGATTCAGTGCTAGGCCGTTAAGCATGGAGTAATCAGTTCAGAATTTTGATCAAGCGGAAAGTTGATGTTGTGAGCTTGTCAAGCAGAATGCAAGCGGAGAAGCGTCTCGTGGATGCCGTTTGCACACAAAAGTAAAAAGAGCAGATGATTGGGTCTTTCTGTAAGTTCTGTTTAGCTTATTCGACCTACGACACTATCTGTTGTCCGTAATCATGATAGGCCTTGCGCGCATAACCTTACAAAAAGCGGGAAGTTGATACACTAGATTCTATCATTCAACTATTTTCTCGTAATAGCGCCTTTCGTGCACAGAGATAGTCTACACGGCATAGTCGATAAATGTGCGCACAAATATGGAAACGTTTGAGTTCCAAAGCTTTTTATCGAGATGACTCGAGTTGACATCCTTAGGTATTGATTTCGACTTGAATCAAGATGTAGACATCCCTAGCGTATTCAAAACCTGCTCATTTTCAGCGCACGACACATGTCACATCCACGATTTTCTCATCTCTTTACATGTTGCGAATGAAGCAATCCACTCAAGTGGCAATTCAATTCGAGGATATACTATTTTATTTGCACTGGCATGTGAGCGATATGTCGCTAAGCTTTTTATGTGCTTACTGCGACCAGGGCTTCTTCTCGACGTCACTTCGATAATGGGCGTTGCAAATCAAGAAAGCGACAAATACAAGTTTTCGCAAGCGCATGCAGCTAGGCATATTGTGATCGGCCATGTGTATGTGGACATAAAGATAAGACAAGATAATACTGATGACAACTAGCGTCGTTGCCTCATTTAATATTCAGTACATCAAAGGTCCGGATATTGTTGATGGACCGAGTCGTATAATAACGCAACAGCCTTTCAAATGCTTTTGCGGGCGCAGTCGGTTTCTAGTGGCTGTAACCGACTCGAATTGAAACAATCTATAGTTTTTTCAGCTTGACGGTCAAATGAGTACTATAAGGCTTTCGAAAACCCATTCAAGTGTATCTAATAGACTCTTGTTGAGATTCGAGCATGGAATAGTATGACATGCATCGTTTCCAACCGACCTTCAGTGTATTGGAAGATCACGGGCCTAACTCCATGCAACAACAAGCCATTAATGTGGAGTAGCCGTGCAGTGGAAAACAAACCTGTGGCATTGAACTGTACTGTGGACACAGCACCAAAAATCTGTACGTCAAGTTAATTCAGCAAATTCAGCTTGCGTGGAACCTCGCACAACTTGAAGTCTGCAATGCGAAAGGGTACGCAACTGAAATTCCTCGCGTGCTATTACATGGATACATTATCAGCACCGGACGATGCCAACACGTGAAGTTGCTGGGACCCAGCGCCTAGAGTCCACTCTTTATCCGGCAAAATCTATTTTGTGCAGATTGGAAGCCATGTATAACGGTCAGTGTAGCATCAGAAGTCACTCTTCTGCTTGGTAAAAAGACAAGTTCGTGCAACCGACAGCTTGCTAGCGTGGTCTTGACCTCACGCCTCCGCTACGACCGTCAAAACCACTGTGTCCTCTATCAAAAGACATACGTCGCTCATAAGTGTCGTTACCAAAAGCACCAGCACGCTCACAGCTCCGATTTTCTCGGCGCTCGGCGAACCGATCATTGTGAACACTGTATCCACGCGCTCTTTGAGCGCATGAATTCCTGGACCGCGAACGCGAACGAGATCTAGATCTTCGCATATTCATAGCAGGATCAGTCCGCTGCTGATGAAATTGATGCTCGTTCGAAGTTATACGCGAGTGATTCCGCGAATAATTCGCGTGCGGATTCCGCCTCTCACTTGTTTCAGCAATGCTTAAATCCGGTTGCTTCCTCCTGAGCGGGGAGTGAGCGCGGTATTGCCGGTATCTACCATCATCCCCTCCTGAAGCTGTAGTTGGATAATGCCCTGCTTTGCCTCTATTTTCTTCGTCCGTACGCCCTAAATCTCTTTTCTTTTCGCACTCCCTTCCGTCAAAACCATAACTTGAAGATTGACGTGGTGAAAAGTGCGATATTCGAGCTCGCTTCAGTGCTGGCGTACCGACGTCGTTGTGAATTGCATGCATGATATTCACATTACCGCTTCCAATTCTTTCGCGGGCGTCATCCACCGAATGCGGGACGTCACTTCCTCCAGAATTTTCTCCTTCGACTTTCTTTTCAAGAGCGCCAGCATCACCTTGCCGGTAAGACGACTTGGATTTTGAGCGGGATCGAGACCTGCACCTAATTGTTGTCTGCAAACGGTTTCTGCCACCGTCGATGCCGTCGTGTTGCCTTTCTTTCTCACACCGAGGACCTATTGCTCGCGGTGCATTGCGACCATACTTTGACAAGCCATCATCACCCTTTGACTTTCTTCGGTACTCTCGTTGCCATATCGGAGTGATCGTGCCACAATTCTGCGACGAAAGGGGAGAAGATTCTGGTATCGTTCGCTCGCTAGAGAGAGAGCGGCCAGGATTACTCCTAAAATTTGGTTTGGCAGCCTGACATGAGCTCAATTGAAGCACCGCACCAGCTTTTAGACTCGACTTGAGTTCCAACGCATGTCCAAGGTCGTCGCGATAAGTATGCAACGCTCGCTCTCCGTCTTCACGGTTGTAGTAGTGCAAGTACACAGGGTTCAACTGACCCTTCATCAGTCTTTGCCAACTTTCACGAGTTATTTCGCAACGCGGTACAGATTTTCCAAGCGCATACCGCTTGCTCATTGAAACAGCAAAATTTTCTCGATCACGGTCTTGATTGAAACGGATTCCCGTAGACTTGCGTTCGAAACGCGCATTTCGGACGATCAAAGTTATCTGACCACGTAGATGCTGAGGCACGAATGCCGTGCCATACATGTTTTGCTGGAAAAATTCTCGGTCATCAGGCCGAGTAAATCGCAGCTCCTCGTAGCACCTTGTAGTTCGGGCATCCAGGTTATCGTTACCGTGCCCATCAACTACTACGCTTGCATTTCCAGCAGCTTTTGGTGGCGAAAGCGACACGCCAAAGAATGAGGCTGTGTACCGTTCCCGGCTTATGGCCATTTCGCCACTCGTGGCGCAACTATAGCGAGAAATCAAGTCAGGCAGCGCTTTTCCATCGACACTGTAGACTTCATATCCCATCTTCAGGGTTTGTATCCTTTTGGTACTTAGTAAGTCAGACGTTCCAGCTGCTAGCTCTATCGCCGCCATGTATATGGAATTGCGATTTCTGGACAAACGCAAAAAAGCTCGATCTTGTGTACAGCTCGAAGCGGAGACAATTGGAACCGGATTTTTTGATCGCCTCGTTAATGGACGAGAAAGTTCCACCATCAAAGACTTTTCACTTCCATCTAACGACGGCAACCGCGATACGGCAATAAGCTTGGACGAAACCACCGAGCGTGTATCTGCACTAGCTTTGTTGCTCTGTACCCGTCTGACAGAAGCAACTACTGTCTCGTCAGCTGTTCCACCATCCACCACACACCGCTTTGGGATGACGAATGATCCAGAAAGCGACGTCGCACTTGTTTTCACTTCATTCGTTGCTTTGCAAGGAGCTAGCATCGTCTGAAGTGCCAATTTTCTATTACTCTTTTCGTGACCATTCTTTGCAGAACTGTCCAGACTTCTCGTTGGGCATTCCGCTTTCGGTGGTGCCACGGGGGTCTCCGGCATCTTTCTGTCAGTAACATCTTTTACCATTGACTCTAGTGCAGACGGTGTGACCATGCTTGGGCTCACTTTCAAACTGTCATGACAGAGAGGTCCCGAAATGTCGTGTGGTATGCTTTCCACAGTGACACATGTTTGGCTTCCGTCTGCTTCTTTTGAGTCGTTTAACATAACGATTGTATCAGCACCATCCGTCGCAACAATTCGCGCCTTCACACTGCCGTTAGCTTTTTCCGGTTCACAAGATACACTGCGAGATCCGCCATGATTTGCAACCAAAACACAGTCAGCAACCTGTTGCTCCATGACTGCCGATGTATGTCTATCATCTGCCATCGCCTTTTTTGGCTCAGTAGTAACCAGTACATTTTTTTCTTCGTCACCGCAGTTTGCAAGCGTAGAAGTGGGTTGAACCGGAAACGAAGGCTCCACAGCAACACTTTCCTCACCATCGCGCTTCTCCAGGTCAAAAATATTATTTGTCATTGGAACGGGAATCTCACTTGTCACCGCAACAGGAGATTTCGCGTGCTCGCATACCTTTGTAGCCATTTTCACCTCAACAGCCTTCGACACTTTACATTTTGCAGCGTGCTCGTCTTTCGACAACGTTCTGTCGACTGTTGGCTGAGATACCAACTGTCGCCGACAGGCAGTGCCGGCAGAAACCTTAACTTGATCCCGCTCCAATCGGAATTCTGATCCACGAATTCTCTCCTTCTTTATACGTGCTTCAGATAACCGCTTTGGTCTCGGTTTTTTCGATGCAATCTTGCTGTCGTTCTCTCCAGCATGTGCCTGATGACCATGCCGCTTCTGTGTGTGGTGCTCGTTCAACACCAGGGCCTTGACCACTTCGAGAGGAACCTTTTTCATCTTGACTATCGAAAGCTCCTCTTTCACTGCTTTTATTTGATGGTAATGCCGCATCGAGCCGCTTGATTTGTCATTTTCCTTCAACAATCGCTTTTTCTTGTGCTTCGCAGTCCCACCGCCTGCTAATCCCGCGCCTTGACTGTCTCCTTGGTCCGACTCTCGACGCTGCGGCTTGACGCGTCTAGAGCTCTTCCCCTCCGTCCCCTGCACCGCCTTCGACTTCTTCCTCGGCGTCTGCGCCTTCTTCGTGGGCCGCACCACACACTTGGCCATCAGGTCCGCCATCTGCAACGAAGAGTCCGAGGAATCGTCGTCCTCCAGTTCCTCTCGTAGCCGCTTGAGCCACGGCAGTCTCTTCTTGAGTGACGCATCCTCGGACGTCTCTGTAGCCATCTCGACCCGCGTGCGTTTAAGTGTTTTGGCGATAACGACTTGACAAGAAGTAATTTATAGTATACACGCCGTGTATAATTGGACAATCCACACCCCTAGTTCCTCCAGTAATTGGTAGTCCACTATTTAGTGCAACAGCGTATAGTATTATGTCTCACAGTATATTTAGTATCAGATACAATGGTCGTTTTGTCATGAAATATAGTACTGACATGACTCACGTCTGCATCTGTAAATCAGTACGCACGTAATCTATTCTAACAATAGTCCGACATGTCACAGCCACATTCCACTTTTTTCACGGTAAATTCACTTCGTTTATTATGGACCTGCTCCTCAGCTCGCTTGAATCATAGTGAAGTTGTTCAGGCACACGTATAGGCAAGAAAGTGACATTTGCGCTATGAAATGTGCTTGCAAAACGGTGCGAGAATTATGAGATAGTGGAGCGAGCTCTGGACCCTCGCCCTTTGATCTAAGTAATCCAGTTTACTAAACTGAATTAAGCTGCAAATCACTGTACAAGCAGTCACTTAAAATGAGAATGATGCTGTAAATGTCTGTGTTCACCCAGTACGATATACTTGGGCAACGCGACCGGCCTGTGCTGATGAGCGTCCAACATTTGCTCATGTGATCATATTTACCTTGGATCATTTTCCGGCCAATCACATGCGTGCGCCACAATAGTGATCAAGCCAAGTGGAACTCTACATATACCAATAATCCTATGAGAAGTGGACAGGTTTAATCATACTTAGTACGTGTAAGGTGCACCCAACCGCGTTATTTATAGGCACACAGACAAAGAGACGTAGACATACATAAGAATGCCGAATTCTATCCAAACCAGGTAGTCAGTAGCGCAATGGTCTAGAGTCGCAGTGTATTTGATTTGGTAGTTGGTGTTGTTCAAGTCCCGCAGGGTGTGAATTCAGGAAATCGGGGGTAGTTCACGAATTGTCCAAATTGGTTGTCTTGCGGTGAACAGATTCGGGTGTTGTAGTGTGAAAAAAGTTACTTGACCCGGGCTTGTAAACAAACACTCGTCCCCCGAGTTCACTCGAGTGTTCAAACTATAAGCCTTCGATAGAAAGTTATCGATATCAAAGCCACGGTAGTACGCAGAGGCGTCAAGGGGATGCAATCACGGCAAGTCCCCAATTCCTCCAGTGTGTCTACGAAACAAGTAACTCGGATCGGCGTGAGCCGTGATCACAGACAGGCGTCATAACAAATTAATAGGACCATGGGTGGAGTACCATCGACCGAATAAAGGCCCAAAGCCCAAAAAAGCCAATTGAGACCAAAGGCCCGCAAGGATTAAGGACAAAGGGGGAGATCGAGGCGACTACCCAGGAGGCAATAAGCCAAAAGGCCGGAAGACCGGCACAATCTTAAAGAAGAAGGCACAAATGTGAAGGCTTAGAGGGAAAAGATGAGGGCGAAAGTCCAAGTTAATTTTCTGCAGCCAAAAGCCCAAAATGAGAAGTTTCATATCTGGTAAGAAAGAAGTACCCAATTCGATGACACCTGATCGGGATTCAACCTTGCCCCAGTCACAAACATCTTGACCCTTCGGACTCGCAATATATCGTGTAGGATATTCACATGCATAGTAACGAACGTCTGAGCTAAAACTTATGGCAAATTTTTCCTTGAGAATAAAAATCGTCCTTGGTTGTTTAATCCAACACATACAAGTTCCCTCATGTTTAGTATTTCTGGCCAGCTCGTCCTACCTTAACTTTTCCACCTTTCGTGGTGGAAAACTCTTCGTTTCTATAATCATGTACAGTCGGTCGTACGAGCATGGTCTGGCAGCCAAATGTCGAATGTGTGGAACAACAGATAGCGCAACAACAGACCATCCAAGAGTTTCTACTTCATTTCCAAATTAGCAACAATACGATCCAATGTCTGCCCTTGGATCTTATGTATGATTACTGCATAAAAAATTGGAGCGGGTTTTGCATCCGATTGTGCATGAAAATCATGAGAAAAGAACTTAAGCCGACATTGTAATTACTTTCCTCTGTCTTTCACTATTAACGAAAAATGGAGGACCAATGTAGTCGTACCAATCCACAGCAAAAAAGATGGGCACATCAGTAACGTTTGATCGTTCTTATAATCTAGATCTCGGAACACTCCCCTGCGTCCATTATTATCCCGACTCCCAGCTAAAAATTTGATGATAAGTTCACCTGTGCTCCAACAGCAAGATACAATGAGTTCTTCAAGCGCCTGAACTTGTCATAAAAAAATTCATTGAATTTTTATCAAGACGATCTATTAATTGCCATAATGCGCGTGATAGGGTTCTATATTTTGTTCAGATTTCTCGCATTGTAGCGATTGACTTCAGCGCTATCATTCAAAATTCTCACAGCATCCTTGATACCCATCTCAAATGTAACACCAATTTTTGACGATGGTCAAGTTATTGGGATCTCACACTGAGACTAAGATATTACCCCGTCATAGAAATTCTTACACAGACACAAAAATTGACCTTTTAGAGGTTCACTTAGATACTCTTTTTGCCGGGCAATCTGGTCCAACATAGCAACCTTCTTAAACTTGCATTCGCAATTTTCCCGTGCAAACAAAATGGTTTATCGGATCAACCACACAGATATTTCTTATCAACCGGAATTAGCTGTCCTGGACCTCCAACTAGTTACACATCGACACCACCAAAATGCACGTCTTGTCTTCCCTTTTCATGATGCAATCGTCTCTCAACTTCTCTCCAGCAGATCTGAACTGACCATAGAGTACTCGTCAATTATCAATACGAGAACTTTGTTAAATTTGTCTTGAATTCTAAGGTTATTCGCTTTTTTATTAGCGAATAAGCTAAAATCTCCACGAACGACCAAGATCCCTCCTTAATCGAAATCCTAAGTTATGAATGTAAGGTAAATCCACAAATTAATAAAAATTGCTTTTGCCGTAAATGATCCACGAATAACATCTCCGACTAAGTGCTGCACTAAATTCCACATATGGTGTGTGGCTTATGAGTCCCTGCCGTTCTTTTAGCATATAAAGATTGGATTATCATTTCGCATAGCTTTATAATCATATTTAAACACATCGTCTGCTTTATGATCTAATCGAGAGGAGTAACATCTGGGATCCAAGCATGCAAGGAATCTGAAGGGTATTGCTTGATCATAAGATTTAGTAAATTTAAAGCATCTGCACAAGATATCTCAGTATATCTAAACTGAATATTTGCATGCCGATCATATCTAGGATCAACAAGGGGATGAAAAAAGGACCTGTTGCCCAAAGCGAGAAGAATTTTTAGCTCCTGCTATACATTGCTCAGGTTTCCCAAATTCTTACAACAGTCCAATTTTTCCTTTATCTCATAATCACCCCTGTCCCTTGCTTCAACTAGCAAATTCTGGAGCTTAACATCCTCGCGACAGTATCTGAAGAGATTAGCATCGGCTGTATCCATAAAATTGTTCCATCTGTCTCCGGCACCATCCTCAAATATTCCGTCTCTTTAAGTTCTTTGAAACACCAAGAATATTTTGATCATGACATACTTACAAATATATTGTAAGCAGGGGATTAAATGTTCGCACGATGACTTGGAAAGGAAACCTCGATCCTACTATCTAATTTTGAACCTTCGACCAATCACGTAACCTTAATCGAAAATTTTCGGCAAGATTTAATCAAGTTAGGATGTAGCTTTGAGTTTAAATTAATATAGTCGGGCTGAATATGTGCACTTCTTGCAAAAAGAGTCAGCGAAAAATCCGCAATGATAACCTTTCGGTTGTTATTGTGAATGTGCAACTGTATAAGGCTGATTCCTAGTGATTGCCTAACAAAATTGAACAATGCCTGGAAATGATTCCAACCAATATATCCATGATACTTCGCCCCTCCCACATCATAATGGTCAACGCACCGAACCAATGGAAATCTCAGCTAAAAACTAAATTATCAGAATTCTGTGCCTTTTTCATTACAGACATGTTATTACTTGCAAAGACCTTCTCCTTTTTTTACTTTTAAATGCAAACGCAACCATATAGGCTACATCAGCGTAACGATCAAGTACAAGCGAAAGGTCCAAGTTATCTCTCCAGTGCTGGTGCATGACCGAGTCATACATATTCAATTATGGGTTTTATCTTCGCAATGCAATTTTAGTCCGCACAGAGAACTGGTACCTTCAAAATCAAAAGTCCTACACGTTAAAGTAGAGACGAATAATTAAATCGACACATATTTCCATTTTTAGACTTGCAATTGATTCGGGGCGACAAATGTGGCACTGACAACAATTTGAGAGCTCCAGATCATCCGCATCCATATAATCAGAATTGTCTAGAACATCTAAAATATTTTTGGTACATATTTAAGCATCTTAAAAGGCCACAGAATTCGATTCAAAGTAAGGAAGAGTGTTCATTACTGTCAAGAGGGTGTCAGCGGCGTACTTAGTAACAGAATGCTTTGCTAAATTCCCGCGAATCGAAATTTCCTTAAGTTGTTCAAATCAATCATAATTCTAAAAAACAAAACAATCTGCTCTCAACACAATGTTCCACTTTAGGTAGTAGCTATCAGCTTAGATTTTCAGGATCATACATTAAGCTTGACTAAACCATGCGCGCGAATTGCGATTCGAGATTGCTATTCAAAGCGGTCCCATGTTCACTCAGAGTCAAGAATATCTTAAAAAGTTATCTCGTCGACCAGATGTGAATTTTTGGCAACATTGCGACAGCGCCTATTCATTTCCTTGTTATCACTGGGCATAGGTTTTTGAAGGTCCCTCATTGTACTGGTCGGGGCAAAGCTACACGCAAAAGACGCGACGCCACACTTTTTTGCCGAAAAAGTTTCTTCGATGTGCTGACGGCGACGATAACAATAAGCGTCGGACTAGTAAAAATTGAAAGAAAGCAGTGAGCCTTTCATGATGTCATCACAAGTGCTGTCGTTAATCAATTAATGAGAATCTA